GGCCATATATTATACAAATCCAATGGGCTTATTATTTGAATCTTATAGAAATATTATTAGAGTCTTAAAGAAATCCTAAACAAAAAAATCCTATAGTTTTTATTATTAAAATCCTATTAGAATTGTAAAGATATCCAATGGATTTATTAATTGAATCTTATACGAGTGTTATAGGTATATTATGCTAATCCTATAGGAATCCTGTAGGCTTATTACTATTAGAATTGTATAGGATTCTTATAGGTTTATTATTAGAATCTTTTAGGAATCCTATACATTTATTATTAAAATCTTATAGAAATACTATAGGTCCTATTAGTATATCATTAGAATCTTATAGGAATCCTATTGATATATCATTAGAATCTTATAGGAACCCTATAAGTTTATTATTAGAATCTTATAGGAATCCTATTGGTATCACTAGAATCATATAGGAATCCTATAGGTTTATTATTAAAATCTTATAGGAATCCTATAGGTTTATTATTAAAATTTTATAGGAATGCTATAGGTTTATTATTAAAATTTTATAGAAATCCTATAGGTATATTATTAGACTCTTATAGGAATCCTAAAGGTATATTATTGAAATCTTATAGAAATCCTATAGGTAAATTGTTAGAATCTTATAGGAATCCTATAGGTTTATTAAAATCTTATAAGAATCCTATAGGTTTATTATTAAAATTGTATAGGAATGCTATAGTTTTATTATTAAAATCTTATAGGAATCCTATAAGTATATTATCAGACTATTATAGGAATCCTAAATGTTTATTATTAAAATCTTATAGGAATCCTATAGATGTATTAATAAAATCTTATAGGAATTCTATTGGTTAATTATTAGAATCTTATAGGAATCCTATAAGTATATTATTGAAATCTGATAGAAATCCTATAAGTATATTGTTAGAATCTTATAGGGATCCTATAGGTATATTATTAGAATCTTATAGGAATCCTCTAGGTATATTATTAGAATCAAAAAAGAATTCTATGGGTTTATGATAATCTTATAGGAATCCTACAGGTATTATTATAAATCTTATAGGAACCTTTAGGTTTATTATTAGAATCTTACAGGAATCCTATACCATAGTTATATTATTAGAAACAAAATTAGAAAACAAAAATTAAGACTTTAAAAATTAATTTAGGCCTGTTTCCTATCTAAAATTGTAACAGCTTCCAGGGAATCTTTCCCTTCCCCTGGACCGTCGAAGGGTTCTGGACAGCTCTCGTCTCCCTGTCCTCTTTTGTGTCTGTTACAGGGGTGGCATGGCAATATTGTATATTTATTATATTGTGTTCCCCCAATCTTTGTCGTTGCTGCTGCTGCTGCCGTTGTTGCTATTAAAATAAATTAAAGATAACATACAAATTCAATAGTAAGAAAGATTATAATATATACAATATAAAACCAGAGAACATTTTTAATAATTAAAACCTTAAAATACAGATATTATGAGGCTAAACAATTTATGTCATGAAAGTCAAAAATGGGAGAGAAAAAAACAAATAATAATAAACACTTTAAATTAATGAAATAATTCGTCATGGATGTGTAAAAAAAAACAAAAAACAAAACAAAACAAAACAAAACAAAACAAAACAAAAAAAACAAACGATTCAGGATAAACTGCTGCACGCGCCCGGTGGCGTTCAGTCTTGGGATTGATTTTTTACCTTTGCAGTTTTGGTCTATGCTAATGCTATGGCTATGCCTATTCTATTGCCGTTTTGGTAGTTGAAATTGCCGTTTTAGTACTTATCAATGCCGTTTTGGTTACTGCCGTTTTTTTTTGGGGGGGGTTTGCCGTTTTGTCCAAGCCTAGCCTACTCTTAGTTAGTAAATATTATCGCGACTCAACTGATAACTTACATTGGGTTAAAGAGATGGAGAATTTGCTTGATAGTAGTAACAACAAAAGTGCTAATCTTTCACAGAAAATCTCCATATTATCAGGTTCATCAAAAGTAGGGCCTAGAATATCAGACTAATTGCATAATATTATAAACCAAACTCCTTCTATCTGATAAGATTGATGAATCTTGTGTATTTCTCTATTATGCACCTGTATAACTTTGCTTTGATTGTTTGTTTTCTTCGGTTTTCTTATTTCCGGGTGTAGCGCCCTCTAAATTTCAGCAGTTATAATAATCAATAACTTGGATCTACACTTTTTCATCAATGGCACACTTAGCGGAAGGTGCGTCTTTCCAAGAAAACCTACCATCGGTTCGAACCAATTTTGGATTTTGATGGTGATTTCTGAGCACATTATATGCAACTTCGATCACAACAAAATTTTACATCAAATGACACACTTGTGTGTACCAGAGACAAAACAACAATAAATTAATGTAATTGTACATATAATATTCAAAGAGATTACATTTTTGGGAAGAAAATGTGAAAGGACAAAATCAAGGTCACAGAAATTCCATCTTTTACTCCAAATAAAAGATTCCGCCATTCAGACACATAGGGTGGGTGTATGCTATGCACTCCATCGAGTTATTGCTAATATATACAAATTTACAATGCGTCAATGGGGGTTTAACGTGGTTTTACAAAGATATTCTACACTTTTAAAATCGAATCTTGAACAGATCTACTACTTTATTGAGGTCAGTCTTGCTTCCAAGCTCAGTGTGTATACCCAGCATCAACAGGCTATCAAGTCTGTCTTTTTGTAGATCAGACTTCACAGCCTTCATTGTACAAGCGCTTTTTTCACACTCAGCTGTGCTGACTGGCAAAGTCGCAGCAATCATGACCAGCTCGTGCAATTGAAAAAAAAAATATTAAAAAAAACCCAAGATCTGATTTTGGACATGTAGGCGTATTCTTGAAAGGCAAGCAGGGAATTCAGTATTTCATCCTCTTTCAGCCGCCGAGTCTAGTTAACTCAATATCCATCTCTTCTTTCTCAACATCGTACAAGTCAGCAAAACGTATAATAATATTTTCGTCCATGAACTTTGATGATGTAGAGGATCAAAGGCATACACGTTCTTGCCTCCAAATTGTCTTCTAATAGGGCCTACTTCTGTGGCGGATGCAGGGACGGGGTGCAGATGGTGCTGTCGCAGCTTCCTAAATTCTTAATAAAAATAGGCCTAATTGTATTACATTGTTGATATGAATTATTCGTAAGATTTTTTAAGGTATGAGAGTGCAATTTCCTGGCTGCCAGAGCTCGATATTCTCAAAATTCTCGAGCCTCAGCCCCAACCCGGTTGGGGCTGCGGTGATGTGGCATCTTCATGTACCCATGGGCGCAGATCACTGGGGAAGGGCAACACGTCCCCCCCCCACCCACATATTTTTAAGGGGAAATGGTTGGTTCCCCCCTCATTTTTCTGGAATCAAAAAGATATACTTGAAAATTGTTGAAATTAAACTGCATGTAAATGACTCAGGTTTTAACGAAAGAGTGCGGTAGGTTTACAACCAGAGTACATATTATTTTATAGCAAGATACCGGTTGAATTACCTATCATATACAATTCGAGTGCCCGTGCCTTTATTATAATTGGAAAAGTATGACAAAAAGCGTACAAAGATAAAATTGGTTTTCGGCACATGAAGTAGGTAAAATGTAGGTGAATGTGGCCACACAGCTTTGAGGTAGGTTAAATAAATTAAATACATCAAAGAAAGAGTTTCTTTAGTTTTTTTTTCCTATGGTATTGTACATCACTCATAATAATTAGATCCCTCATTAAAAATCATGAGAAATTTGCTGGCGCTCCACCAAGACATGATAGTGTGATGATGATGAATTTTACTATATAAACGTGTAATTCCCGCCATCTAAAGGTACTATTTCCTCAAATGTTCTCAGCCCCAACCATGGTAGGGCAGAAGTGGTTGTGGACTCACTGCTTTGAAATAAGTAAAGTAAATACATCAAAGAGAATGTTTTTAAGTTATATTTTCTATGGTTCATAACACATACATATTTATACATTTCATTGTTGCCAAGCATGAGACAGGTTTTTGTATGGAAATCCCTAGAGATAAACCAATTCCATAGTGAGGTGATGATGATGAATTTTACTATTATAAATGTGTCATTTCCGGCCATCTACATGTACTATTTCTTCAAATTTTTGCACGCACCCCCTACCGCCAAATACTGCATCCGCCCCTGTAATTTTAAGTACTGTGTGAACACTCTTCAAAACCATCACCACTGTCTTAATTTTCATCATCAGTAGACTCCAAAGTGTAATCTGCAAACCTTGCTGGCATTCCTCGAATTCGTTGTCGAGCAAGAGCACCTTCGACTGGTGGGGTTTGGCCAGGAACATTTAACTTAATTGTTCAATTTTGCAAACATCTCCTTCGCATCTTTAGGTGTTCATTGAACCTTCCCTGGAGTATCCATCCTGTTAAGGTCATCCTGCATACTGGTAATCAGCTCCAGCGCCTTAGCAAGATCGTTTGTTTAACAGTTGGCAAATGTAGGGGCCCCCGGGCCGACAGTTCCCATTTATTCCGCACTAGATGATATATGTCTTGATGATACCTTACAATCGACTTTAGAGGCACATATTATGCTGTTATGTATCAACAAAGCCCTTTTGAGTAAGGGTGCTAGATCGAGGCCCCTTTTGGTAGGGGCACCTTCGGGACCCGTAGGGTGGGCGGCCCTACGGAAGGCCGCAAAAAAGCACATAGGCGTTACACCACTGCCATTATAGTCAAAATGAAATCTCTTTGACGCACCATAGACAATAAAACTTAATTACCTTTGATGTATTACTTTACTTTACCTACTTTATGTGCCGAAAACCAATCTTATCTTTACTCGCTTTTCTTTTTATACTTCTTGAACTATAATAAAGGCACGCGCACTCAAGTCGTGTATAGGTAAATTCAGATATATGTGGGCAGATATACCGGTATCTTGCTATAAGAAGATATATTCTGGTGGTACAAGGCTCTTATGTTAAAACCTAGGCCTCTTATGAAATCACATTGCAGCCGAAAAGTGGGGGGGGGGACACCAACTGCCCTTAACAATATGTAGGGGGGACGTGTCCCCCCTGTCCCCATGATCTGCGTCTGCTAACCGACGATAGCGCTCCTAACGGTTAGCGTATCCAGATGCTGGTAACGGTTAGCAGTAACCGATCAGGAGTTCTCACACGGGTGCTAACAGCACTAACGGTTAGCTCCAGATCCAGATACTAAGGCTCTCGTGTGAAACCTGACCGAATACTAGGGCTCTCTCGTGAACCTGAGTGTCAGTGCGCGTGCTACTAACAAATCATTACACATCACTTTCATCATTTACAGATTCAATAACATATGACCGATCTTCAAATTAAATTTTATGTTGTCAGCTTATGTCTGGTATTGAAAGCTTTCCTACGAAGTAGTACTCGGTCTCCAACTAGTTTGTTGTTTTGTTTGTTTATTTCGAATCCAAAAACAAAAAAAAACAGAAATACAAAAAAAAAAGGATTT